TGGTGGGACTAGGTTGAAAAGACTGCAGGGAAGAGAGTGAAATGAAGACGTGTTACTGAAGCTCATGTTCTACTAGGAACCCAGAGGACAAATAATAATAATATTCATCAGAAAATTTGACCAGCACTAGAAAGAAAACATTCAAATAGAATGATGGGATTTAGCCTACCATAATGTTTCAGTGACTAACTGAAAGACGGAGACAGACATCAACGTAGGAACTGGTACAGAAATGCATCGGTTCAAACTGCTACATTTAATAGCAGCATTCAAAGAACAAGTAGGTAGGGAGTCATATTAAAGTAGACAAGAAAAGGGATTTGAAAAATGAAGGCTAGTGAAAATGTTGAGACTTTTAAAGAAATCAGAGTCAGTGAATTTGCACCATTATAACCGATTCTTAGCTATCACACTAAGTATTTAATCAGTGAGGTCCTCAAACAAACAGGTCACACATCCCCAAAGGACTGAAATCAAGAGTCAGAGACTACATGGATTGTAGCCATCAATCCAACAACCTATAGCATTCTTTCAACCCAATCCTACTTCAGCTAACATTTCACGTCAAGGTTGGCAGTACTGACACGGCTAGACCTCCCAGTCTGGTCACTAGAGGGAGATCTCCATAAGGACATCTACGATAAAGCTGAATAAGGAAGGAGCGACTGGATATCTTTGATGGACACCACTCGACATACAAAACTCACCTAATAGTTCACTATAGGCTCTAATACACCCATCAGTTTTCGAGTCACGAGCCTCCAATAGGGTGATGTACTTAATACACATCCCCACTCAGTGACAGGTACTGGCATCAGACATCTCAATTGACGGAGTCGAATGACACCTTCAGTTCTAGGAATGCAGTTAATGTCAGTCGTTGTGTGTGCCTGTATCCCAGAACCCGATGGAGAGACAACATCTGATCGACATACTCACGAAACCTGCCTGGTTTTCGTAAGTTTGCTATTTTCAAGCTTCACTTGGAAGTTTAATAATTATGGAACCCAAAATCAGACACTGTTCACCAGCCTGATTCGCCTGTGGTCATAACAAGAGGGTTTCTTTTCTTTCTTGCAGACTCGGACACTCAGTGACCGAGACCAGTCAGAGGGAGTTACATCTGATTCCTACAAGCAGGTTAACACTTAGGTTAACCTAACCAACAATTCTCCATCCGGTACTTAAATACCTCCAGTGTTAGTTTATCTACTCTTCCTCGTTCCAGGTTACTTACAGCTTTCGCGACTTCTGCAAGATTTGTGGAACTTATATTAGTGTTTTCTTGAGTCCGACTACATAGTAAGCAACCCAACAGTAACTGAAGATCAACTCGACTGTTTCTCAAAGTTTCCCGTCCCAGTTATCTCTTATGCGAGTAAATCTCAGAACTATCCTTCTCCGCCAGTCTCACTAAGCATTGACATTTTTGTCGTAGTTTCCTTGATCAGCTTAAATATATCTTCTGCTACCCAACAATGCAACCTTCTCTATCTCCCTAGCCTCCAATGTTCACGGTCATTGCACATGCTTTTCGTCAGTCTACACTTCAGTTGCTTCGGTATCTTATTTTGCTCGGAAATACAGAAGTACATTTACACGGACCCATTAATTCAGAAGCTGCTGATCTTTTCCAAACACTTTCTGAGTCAGTTGCGGTCTTTAGTACTGTTTTTACAGAAGACTTGAGGTAGTGACGACCTACTTCAGGATGAATGATTTTGTTACATTTGAATGACTGTCTAACCATTTCTTTGCTGAAAGCAGCCTTAGTACTTTCAGTGTCAAACTGCACTCTTAACGATCTTGGTGCTGTAGTCTTTCTATGTCCGTTTAGGTGCAGACATAAACATGTTCGACCCAACATCATTGCTGTTCAGACACGTGCTTCAGGAGGAGCACCGATCTTCAATCGACTCTCTTCAAAGATAACCGATAGCAATACGACCTATCTTTGTCCACCGTTGAAGTCTTTCTTTATATTTGAACTTTGTGCTGGTTAGAAATGAATGGTTATAGCAAGCAATCGCCATTATCTGTTCGTCCGGCTGGGATTCCGAAATGGTCGCTCGAATGCTTACTTATTTGACTTAGCCTACCCACTTGTGAATTAAAATTATGTGCCACAACAATCAAGTCTGAACGTTTGGCTTTCAGTAGGAAGCTAGACACTTTCGGTAGGACTCATCCAAACTGCAGTCAGCGAGTCAGTAGGCACAGACTACGAAGAGATAACAGCGGGTTTCAATATTCTTTTAAGTCCTCACTGCCCGTTAAGTCGAACAGAATAGAGGTGGATGTCAACTGAGATTCGGTCGAGCAATGAGCTTTCTGTCTTGGCAATTACACCTTGCAAGATCGCGAGGACTAGCCATCGAATCTCCGGAAACTCGAAGGGTAAATTTTGCTGACCCACTACATGGATCGGGTGTGGCTAGGTGAATAACCGCACTTGGGTTCTGTACAGGTATTTCCCAGTCCAGATCCATGGCCTAAGATGTCAGAGTTTTGGCTAGCGAAGCCTGTTGTCCTATTTGACAGAGTGCTAAACATGGAAAGCTTCAATATGTACTTTTGCGCGTAGTTTCAGATCAGTGCTGCTGTCCGACCAACATGGATCACTATCAAGAGCTGCGGAGTAGAAATAAATAACAGATGAAGTAGGAATGTTGGTTGAGAGACTTAGAAGACTGAAAGTTAAAGATGTAGAAAGTCGATAGTGGTCTGAGGGAGCTTGAGTGGTGACATTGTTGTGAAGGCTTCTGACACTTCCCGGTTGCTCACGCTATGGAAGGTTACGTTTTTTTAGCGTACAAAAAGAAAATGCAATTGCCTAAGTGGAGTTGGGGGTCAGCGGTTCAGGTAGTTGACTCAACCAATGAATCACAGGTTCAAACTCAGCTCTACCTACTGAGGTCTGAGCGGACAAATATCATGCCTTCACAAAATAGGCTTGGCTAACTGCCCACTACACGAACGTGGATGTGGTGGCTGAATGCATTTCGATATTCCACATTAGATTTGTTCATCTGACTTATAAGTCACAGTGGTGCAGTATTATTTGCTTGATGACGTTTCGAGTGTAATTTTTGCTCATAATCATATCAATGTGATTATGAAATGATTTATGCTTGAAACCCCATCACGTAAGTAATACTGCATCATTGTGTTATAAATCAAATAGAAAAAATCTAATATGGCACTTATGTTGAGCAATTTCACCGGAAAGAAAGCAAGTATGAGGAGCAGTCATAACGCTAAAAAGAGTGGAAAACCTCCACTAAATGCAGTGAATAGTTTCCTTTTTTTCGTATACAGATTTTTTAGCAGTTTGAAACTTCAGTTTGCTTGCTCTAAATTCAGCCAGAATACCCATACCACCGGTGCCAGAAGACGAAAGAACAAGGTGTACTATTGTATGGGCCAAACCTCTTTTACTATAAGAAAGGCAGCATCAGCATGGATTGCTGGTCATGCATAGGAAGCACCTTACCCCTCTTACACTCCATTCAGCCAAAGTACAACTTTTCCTTCAGATCCTGGTTCGTGGAGTAACTGTCCAAACTATGATGACTACTTCTTGTCTTGCCACTATTCATCCGATTATTTTGGTGTGGTGAGACCTCCAAGAACAAATTTTCTCACCAGTATAGCTCTAGTCATTGCAGGCCTAACCATTACGTCAATGTAGCTGCAATCGGTCAAGGGTGATAGGGGATTGGATCTAAGCTATCAGGATAGAGTATCTTAAGGTATTGATTCGCTTGGAGTTCACACTCAACTTTAGTTTTAGCAGATGGTAGGGATGTTAGTTACTATAAATAAAATATGGTGCGACCCAGTAACCATATGAAGGTTCGTACACAAACAAAACCTCTTTTACGGGAATTTAAAGAGAAGCTGATATGGAGTAACTCTGAAGGAAATTATTGTAAGGGCAAAAATTACATACATATTTTGATGGTACCATGTAACTATTTCAGTGACAAGAGAAAAGTAATTGTATTTAAAATCCAAACAACCGAATGAAACGGAAAAATAAAGGCAAACATAGTAAGTCAGAAACAAATTTGAGGAAGGCACTCTAATTACCAATCAACCTTTAATTCATACAGTCTTGAGTAAATATCAATATTAATCCAAGCGTCCCACCATTTATGAGTAGGATCACATGCAGTGTGGAGTAATACTAGAAGTTTCCCAAGAACGATACGGAACTACAAACCTCCAGTCATTCATAATTTTACCAAGTATTACGAAATGTTGGAACAAAGAACTCCTCAGTCAGCAACAGTTAAGGCGTGAATTCAACAACTACCGTATTTATAACACGAATTTATAGCAAACGTCACCGTTTGGCAAAAAAGGGAAAATTAGAGCGGGCAACTGAGAAATAAGATAAGAATGATGGGGGAGAAGTAGACATTGATGGGGATACTGGTTATGAAAAGCGTAAAAAGGAGGGGATATAACCGGGAAAAGTAGATTTTCAAGCGGCTGTGGGGGGGGAAGCAGATAAGTAAACACATAGGTTGAAAGAGGAAAGCGACTTAAGGGGGTAAAAATCAACATCAAAAAAAGGCGGGAAAGCGTAAAAGGGAGAAATCGGTTACATTTCCCCACGAATGTCGCTTTACTTTACCACTGAGCTCCCCCCCTCATTTTCCCTTTCCAGTATTCAATACCCTTTTACGAGCTAGTGTAAACCAACTGATTTCTTCGCGCTTGCTTCTAGGTCCTACAGAACGGTTCAAGGTCTCAGGTGGATTCCGACGCATTAGGTCTTTATTCCATTTACTTTCCCCTTTTTGGTCGGTATGGGCAAGATCATGTGTCATTAACTTTGTAAACTAAATTATACTGATTCAGCAGTGAATGACTATAAAACAGTGACTACGACAATAATAAGATCTTTAAACAAGAAAGTGCGATGACGAAGGTGTCACATCAAGTTTAGTAAGTTTGTATACGAATTTTAAAAGCACAGTGAAAGCACTAACTTGGATGGTCGAAATCGAACTCACTCTCCAGAGCTAATTGTCGTTCTTCATCAGAAAGTTCACGATAAAAGGATGATAAGCTTAAGACTACAACCTTTTTTTCTGTTGCTTTCTTCAGTAAGACATCTTTTATCTTTTTACATGCCTCAGTCTGAAATTATTATGGAATGAATCAAGATATACTTTTCCCGAGGCCGCTCCTCCACTAACACCAATAAGAAAAGGCTTGAAAGACGCCTGAACCATTTTCGCATATGTTTTCAAGGTCAGAAGGCCTGTTGCGTGGGTCCAACATCCAACAACAATGCAATATCCAATATCCAATAGTGTTAGTGCGAGCGTAGAAAACTGGTAGTTTTTGATCTCTCGCACCTAGTTCTTAGGGCTTGGTTCCAGTTGTTCGGTTTACTCTTGCAATGGACGGGGAAATCCCCTCTGCTTTCTTGCTTTTAGCTTCGGTGAGGTGGATGTTTTGTGGGTTAGTAAGTTGTAATTTGTAGAGTGATTAGGGAGCTACGGGTTGCTGGGAAGTTTAGAGAACAACCGTGACTCCTGTCTGTGTGGGTACCTGAAAGAGAATAGTAAGGTAGTGGTAAAGGAATGAAGAGAGAAATGGGGAAGAGAAAAAAATAATAATGTAGGGAAGAGAAAAGGGAAGGAGAAGAAAAGGAGGGGTGAAAAGAGAAATGAGAACGAAAGGAAAGTATTTGGGAATTGCCTGAATGGTCGCGTGGGTTTGGTTCCTACAGAAGAATTAGTAGGCAATGTGGGTGTATTAAGGAGAGAGATAGTGAGTGGTAGTTAGGAGGGAGTTGGGGGGTACTGAGGTTGGTGACTACCTGAGTACGTCCGTGGTAGTCCATGAGAGGTGACATAACTGTCTAATCGCCTCTTGAAAGAGTCGATTGAAGGAGCTATAACGCTGTTTTGCGATAAGGCATTCTATAAAGCACATACTCTTAGGGAGAAAAATTTGGACCTGAGTGTGGTGTTGGCTCTCTGGTGTGCTATCTTAATGGGGTTTCCTCGTGAAGATCGTTCAGTCGCAGGCAAAATTGATTTGTTTGCATGGTCTGCCTGATGGGCGATCTTGTATGCCATAATGAGGTCACCCCTTTTCCTGCGATAACCCAAGGTAAATAGGTTGAGGTGTTCAAGTCTTTCAGAATACGTCTTTTCCCTTAGCCCCACAACGGATTTTGTTGCAGTTCTTTGTATTCTTTCAAGGAGATTAGAGTCTCTCTTGAGTGCTGGAGGAGCCACCGTATTGAAGACCTCCAGAAGCGGCCGCACGTAGGATTTGAAAATGGTTAGGAAGAGTTCGGGAGTGAGACTTGGTTCTTTTTGTTAGTTTGTACTCCGATGGTAGCAAGAAGTCTGCATCTTCCTGCTTGTAGTTTCGGAGGTAGTGTTTGTCTATTTCAGTATCCAATATCCAATATCTTTTGACAGGCTAGTGTAAATCAACTGGTTTCTTCTCAGTGGCTTCTAGGTCTTGCGGAACGGTTCCAGGTCTTTGGTGGATTCCGATGCAGTAGGTCTGCCCACTAGACTGCTGTGGCTCTGGTTAGCCCGACGGGCGGTTGGGTGTTGGCTAAACCTGCAGACAGCGTTCTCTGTTTTGTTTTTTTCTTCTAATGACTGTGGCGCAGATGGGCTCCTCAAATGTCGTGCCAGCAGACAATTAGTCGGACTGGTTGTAAAGAGATGAAAAATGTGTGCAGAGAAATCAGGGAAGAGAAAGTGCAGAGAGACACAAAATAGAAAAAGAAAAGGAAAACAGGAAGAAGAATAACACCTATTTGAAAAAAGATTAGGAAAAGGAAACGGCACGGAAGAATAAACATTGATAGGTTCATGGGGAATAGGTGATAGGGAGAGCTTTTGTTAAAGTTCGAGGACGTAAAGTCAGATGGAAGAAGAATAAATAACATGATAAGACGAATGAGAATATAGTAATTCTTTTAATAGAAGACAGTAACTGGAGGGGATGTCTACAGGAAGGTATAAGGTTGAGCCAAGTTCTCAGTGATAGTGGTTTTACAAAGTGTTCAGTAACGGTTGGTCCTACCGAGTTAGTAAGTCGTGTTAGCCTAGTCCACATCCCAGTTGGATGGACGCAAATCGTGTGTCACTGCCTAACTGTCCAACCTCTTCTTGAAGCTGTCAGTAGACGGAGCAGTAGCAATCTCAGCAGGCAATGTGTTCCAGTGGCCATAAACTAGCAGAGAGAAGAAGTGTGATCGCACACAGGTTTTCGCTCTTTGGTGGGCGATCCTCCTTGGGTTGCCACAAGGATTGCCATAGTGGCCGTTAGATAGAATTCCGCTGTTCGGATGGCTTGGGTTACTGAGTATTTTGTAAGCCGTTATCAAGTCACCACGTAATCTGCGGTAGCTTAGAGAGTAAAGCCCTAGACCTTTCAGCCTGTCCTGATATGGTTTTCGCCTCATTCCCACGACACCCGTTTTAGCTCACCTTTGAACCTTCTCTCGGAGGTTCGCCTCTCTTTTCAGATATGGTGGTGCAATGACGTTGTGTACCTCTAGGTGGGGTCGTATATAGGTCTTATGCAGCTTCAAAAAGAGTTCCGGGGTCAGGGAACCCAGTTGTCTGCTCATGAAGTGCAGTACTGCGTGGGCTCTGAAGGCATCTCCTGGATAAGTGGGGCTAGTGTCTAGTTTATCAGTTAGTATTAGTCCTAGATCTTTCTCTGTGGTGGTGTAGGAGAGCTGTGTTCCGCAGAGAGAATAGGGTATCTTCTGAGAGTCTGGGGTGCGCAGAAACATGGCTCGGCATTGATCTAGGTTAAATGCAAGTAATCTGAGATCACTTTGCAGTGCACTTGATTCTGTTTCTGACGTCACAACTCTCCATAGCTCAACATCATCAGCGTAGAGTAGGATAGGGGAGCTGAGATTCAGTGGGAGGTCGTTCACAAAAAGAAGAGATAGCAGTGGACCCAGAATTGCTCCTTGTGATACACTAGAGGATGATGTTCTCCGCGTCGAGCAAACTCTGTTGGCTCTTGTGTAGAATTGTCTACTATCTAGATAGTCCCGTAACCATGAAGGCCCTTGTCCCTTGATACCTAACCTCTCTATTTTGTGAATAAGAACGGTGTGTGGAACTGTGTCGAAGGCCTTAGTAAAATTCAGGAAAATAACATGGACGGAAATTTGGAGGTCCTAGAATGCCGTCAACTTATCACCTGCAGCAGGAATGTTTGTGGCCCATAAACCTACCCTTTCTGAAACCGTGTTCAGCATCACCAAGTGCTGCCCTCTTTTCTAAGTACCCCCTGAGATGGTCGTCTCCCAGACTCTCCATTACTTTTGACACCACTGGTAGGAGGGCTATGGGTCGGTAGTATTTTGGGTTCTGTCTGTCTCCACCTTTGAAGATGGGGGACAGAATAGCACTTTTCCACTCTCGCGGAAGCTTGTGACTGTCTGGGGGTATTGAAACACGTTGCACAGCGGACCGCATAGGGCATCCGCGCATTGTTGCAGCACATCCGGTCGGATGTCATCACACCCTGGTGATTTCCCTGAGCGAAGCTTTGACAGCTTTTCGAGGACCATAGCAGGAGTTACCTTTATTCCAGGTAACTCTACTGCGTTTGGTGGTGCTGAATTTCTGTCGGACGGTTGGTAACTTTGGTTTGACGGAGACGCATTGAGTTGCGTATTGAAGGTGGGGCTAAAGGCCTCAGAGATCTCTAGTCTGGGGAGGTTCTCTCTGTCTAGGTCTCTCGGGACGCAAGCCCCCTGGCTGGTGGATTTCCTTCCTGCCCTAAACCGATATAGGTTTTTGGGGTTTGCCTCGAGCTTCTGAGCAAGGTTCGTCTGGAATGACCTCCTGTCTCCCCTCACTCTGATGCTGCATCGATTTCTTCAGGCAATATACGCAGTGTGGTCAGACTCTTTTCTGGAGGTCCTACACTTGTACCATGCTTTCCTCTTGGCTTTCAAAAGGCGTTCAGTTCCTGGCTTCAGCCATGAGGTCCGCTTCGCGGTATTGCTGTGATTACTGGGACTTTTTCAGGGACAGCCCTTTTGATGATATCCCTGACTAGTTCCCAGTTTTGGTCAATCGACAGGTTGCTCCAATGCTGAGGCCGTGGTGCTATCGACAGATATTGGTTCGTCGCCACGTAGTTCACTTTGTCGTAGCAAAGGCAAGGGCGCGATCCCTCCCATGACAGTCGTTTGGAGAGTGCCGGATCGAACACTACCACCTCATGGTCGCTGCTGCAAAGAGGGGGTTTGAACCAGTGCATTTCCTACCAGCAGTGGGTCACTGGTAAAAAGGTAGTACATTTTGGGGAGCTTTTCGCTCGACCCCCAGCGAGCGTCAACACCAATATTCTCGTGCAGCCTGGCCTTTTGGATAGTGTTGAGTAGGTTTCGGTCGAACTTTCTGCTTGAGTTTCCCCTGTCCTGCCCAAGATTGAGAGTCGGAGCATTGAAGTCGCCGGCTATAATGACCTGGCCACATCTGATGGACGTCTCTCCGGACACTGCTTGCGGCAGTTGTCGGTTATCTTCCACTCTGCTAGTAGGAGTTCTGTAGACGCCTCCTACCAAGTACTTGATGTGTTCAGCCTTAAACTGACACCAGATGGAGTCCGGGGGCCCTGAAAGTAGAGTTTCCGTCGCTCGTTCACTTTTAGGGTCATCATCGCCACTCCGCCTCCCTCTTTAATCTCCCGTCTCTCCTGAACAGATGCATACCGTCTATCCTAGTTTCAACGTCGCTAATGCCTGGTGATAACCAAGTTTCCGTCAGGATTGTGATCGTTGGAGCAAGGTAGGAACAGAGAAGTCGTAATTCCCCCATTTTACTTCTAAGTCCCCCCACATTACTGTAGAGACGCTTGGCTATGTTTCTAACGACATGGGGTATCTTGGTGCTGGCAGACTGGAGGGAGTCATGCCTAGTGGCGAAACTTGCTACAGGACGGCCAGCTTCAGTGGAACCGGCCCAATCAACTTTTTTTTCACAATGGTTTCTGGGAGTTTCATAGATTCCAGGCTTGATTGTGCATCTTGTCTGTTGACAGTGATGGCGACTTCGGCGGCGGGCGGTGCTGCCATTTTCCGTTGTCTCACTGTCCTGAACCTGCTTTCACAGCAGCGAACGTTCTCACTGACGTTATCTTTTACCGTGTACCAAGTTTCCAGTACATCGGTTAAAAGTTATTGACAGCCGAAGTTAACAGCCATCAACCGGGGTGATGTTATCGCCGTCAAATGTGGGGGACGTGGCAGCCT